CTAGGGCAGCTGTAAATAATTTTGGAGATATTGTGTCTCTTTGTCTTACCTATTCCTCGGTTGATTTTTACTGGTCGTGTTTCGATTCCATTACCCAACGTCACGATCATTTTAGATATGTTATATAATGACATTTAGATAATTTAGATATGTTATAGAATGTTTAGAAGTTATATAATAAGTCAGTCTTTTTTCAAACTATTTTTTTAATAACAAATTTAATAAATTGTTAAAGTTTTTTTAGTAAACCTTATGAACAAAGCCTCAAAGAATCGATTGGAATTTACAAAATACCTCTAACGTGACTGTTTGGGCAAGCACATTTGTTAAAATAATCGTTTTTCGAGATAAACAAATTGAATTATTTGTAAACTATTTGGTCGATCTGTAAAACATTTGTAATAGTTTACAGTCAGGTTAGCACCATACTGATAGAATTTAAAACCATACAGATCATAGAAACATGATTATGCCTTGGAACAGGAATGATTTTATTACGACGACTTTCGTGAGAAAGAGGACAACGAATTTATAGAAAACGGGAAACATACTTCGCATCAGTATTTGGAACGTAAAGTCTCTAAACATGAAAGAACAGATAATTACAAAAGATTATGCAGAAAAAAAATATAGACATATGTGCACTACAAGAGACAAAAAGAAGGAAAGGGTCAAATTATGCTAGTTGACTATCTGATGATTTACAGTGGTATTGCGAAACAAACCAGAGCCAAAGAAGGAATCGCCCTTCGTACATAAAAAGTTTTTATACCAAATACAAGAAAGTAAATATACCTCTAAAAGAATAGTAAGTGTAAAAATTAAACTGGATGCCAAACCTCTGAATGTGATAGTAATCTATGCACCAGAGAATAACAGAGATACCACCCCAAGGAAAAACTTCTATGAACACCTTTAGACTGTAATAAACAAGACCTCAAATCATGAATATATAATCATTATGGGTGATTTTACCGCCGTGTTGGCAATGACACAGTTCCAGAAATAAAACAGAGATATAACGAAAATGTCAGAAATGAAAACGAATACCTTCTGAGGGACCTGTGCGGAATAAACGAGATACGCATTATTAATACAGTTTTTCCTCACAAAGAAGAATACAATTACACTTTTGAAAACAGTAGAGGACAAAAATCTATAATAGTCTATATTCTGTCGAATGAAGAGTTACATCCCTCTCAAATCTTAGATGTAAGAACACTAACATCAGCAGAAATAGGAAGCGATCATAAATTGGTATTGTGCAAAATCCGAATTAAAACACATACATGTGATAACAAAACACCAGAATACACCACAAATATAAAAATCGAAAGGTTATAGGATGACTCCACAAGATACCTATTCCAATAAAGAATAACCGGAAAAAGCAGAAATACATATATCAAATAACGTTATGGAGTCCAAAAGTCTAATATCTTAGCCTCAGCCAAGGAAGTTCTTGGTGAAAGAAATATAAATAAAAATAAATTGTTCTTAAGGAGAAGAATTTCATGGTTTTGTACAGAAGTGAAGGAAAAATGTAAAGAAAAGAAAGAAGTTTACCTAAAGTACATGACAACCAAAACACAAGAGGCATACCATAATAACAAGACAATTAGAAACAAAATCCACAAGGAAAACAATTCCTGTAGCTGGCTGTATACCACGTATCACAAAAAAAGAGGTTAGTCTTCGTAAGTGGGTATATTTATTTAAAAACACTTAAAAGGGCTACATAAAAAAAAAACAAACGTTTTCGGACTAAACAGTCCATCATCAGGTTTTAAAATCGCTAGGTTAAAATGCCTGAGCCACCAAAAATACATGGGTAAAAACACTTTAAATTACATATAGTTATAAAAGATTATACATCTTGTTTTTAAAAAACTGTGATGTTCAGTATTAAATTAAATATGACTTCAGGTAACATACATTGCAAAAATTGAGTTCCAGAGCCGGGGAGAAAACCTCTACGCACGGAGAACAGCTTTGGTGGCTCAGGCATTTTAACCTAGCGATTTTAAAACCTGATGATGGACTGTTTAGTCCGAAAACGGTTGTTTTTTGATGTAGCCTTTTTAAGGGTTTTTAAATAAATATAGCCACTTACGAAGACTAACCTCTTTTTTTTTAATTAGAAACGAAACACGTGCACTTGTAAGAAAAATAAAAAATTATCACTAGAAACGCTTTTCGAAAGAAATAAAACATGATTTTATGGTCTGCAAAAGACAATATAGCGCTTCATAAGAGGTCAAAGAATGGGAGTAAAGAAACTAGTGGAATCAAAACACATAGAAAAGGATACGTGGATTGACTACCTAAAAAAACTATAAGCAGAAGAAGAACAAACGATGCTAGATTCGGAAAAACCATGGATTACCACAAATGAAGAACTTAATGTAAATGTACAAGAAGTTCGGAAAATACTTGAAAACCAGAAAAACAGAAAATCAGCAGGTAAAGGTGGGATAACAAACGAGTTACTGAAATATTATGGAGCAGCAATGAGAGAACAATTAACAACATTAATTAATAAAATTATAAAACTCAATGATATACCTACCGTAAGACTAAAGAACGAGCGAATTAATTCAACTATTCAAAAAATAAGATAAAAGCAGCCAGAAAAATTACTAGAGTATAATAGACTGACATTTCTGTGTCTGATTGACCTAAAGAAAGCGTTTGACAGAGTAAGACTCAAAGATGTAATTAATTTCCTGTATAATAGAGAAGCTTCCCTAAATATTATAAAAAAAAATATAATATATTATAAAAAAAATAGGCAGCGGAATAAGACAAGGGAATTCATTGAGCCCATGCTCTTCAATTTGATCATGGATGAAATTATCAAAAGCGTTAACAAAGGAAGAGGATACAGAATTGGAAACAAAGAAATTAAAATACTCTGTTACGCAGACCATCGATGCAATATTGACAGCCCAAGATGAAGATTGATAGCATCAGTATTGAACAAGTAATGGAAATAAAAGAACCTGGGAATTACATTGTCTAGCTACGAGGGCCTGGACAAAAAAGTGAGAGATCAAGTAAAAAAACAAATAGACTGGCAGGATGCCTTAAAAACACTGTATGGCAAAACAGATACATTAACACTGAGATTAAATCAAGAATTTATCAAGCCAGTATAAGACCAATAATGACATGCCTCAGAAACAAGATCCGACACAGCCACAACCCAAAGACTACTGGAAACGGAGATTAGAGTACTGAGAAGAATTACAGGAAATACGCTGAGAGATCGAAAGAGAAGTAAAGACATAAGTAAAAACATTAGAAGAAAATGTAACGTACAGTGTATAAATGAATGGAAATTAAATAGAAAAAAGAATGGAATGACCACAGAACGGAGAAGACCGCCCAAAAGACGGCTTCCATAGAGGTATTAATCCGCCAATGAACAAGCAAAATTGCTTATGAGGAGAAAAAAGAAGAAGATTTATTTAGCAAAGTATTCGATACGATAGAAATTAACAGCGAAATGCGAGCGTTGGAGTCAAGTTATATAGTCAATAGTATTAACACTAACCATCAGTGTAAGACTACACAAAGATACAAAATGTATAAAATCCAATGAGCAAGCAGACAAGGAGACACGTTATCTCCCCAAACTCCCTACAGTAGTTCTGAAACATGCTTTTAAACATTTGGAGTGGGACGCCAAAGAAATCAATATCGGCTAAGAAATGCTCTCCCACCTACGATCCACAGCGACATAGTTCTGATAAAGATAACTTTAAAGAGATTGTAACTACGCTTACTAATTTAAATATCGCCTATAAATAAGTGTGTTTAAATATAAATTTTGGAAAGATCAGACATAATACATGAGAAATCTTGTACCAAGCAAAAATCTAAAAGTCGACTGAAACGGAATAGGATAAGTTCAGAAATATAAATACTAAGATCATAAAATTCAAACTGTCAAAGACAATCAAACCGCTAAACTACAACGAGGAATACCTTAAGCACAAGTCGCATATGGAGCTCACATCTTCAAGAGAAACACACCAAATATTTTAAAAAGTACGGTACCGAAAAACTTTTTTTAATACAGGCTTCAATATCCAAAATTAGAGTGATCGTTATGACGGTCGCTGCTTGAACTGACTTTCAGAGACACAGTTAAAAACCAAGAAATAAGAAGAAGGACAGACGTCACAGACATCGTTATAATGTTAAGCAAAAGTAGACCCCTTGCATGATGGAGAGATGACGTCGAAAGAATCGCCAAGAATTAACTACAGTAAGTTCAAGACCAACGGAACTGGAAGAAATTAAAAAAGGCCTATGTATAACTTGGAAGATAATGAAGTTGTTGAACTTGGTTAAGGCTGGATGATGAAGAGAAATAAACATAGTAAAATATGTGGAAAGACACTCCTACATTGGGGAAAAACAAAACCATAAAAGACACATACAAAGTTAATGACATTAATAACAGGATACTAAAAAAGTGAATACAAATACAATGGATAAAACCAAACTACCAACAGAAATATAAGAAATGAAGATACTTTGTAAAATATTTGAAAAGACGCTTCCAGATAAAGGACGAAGTAAAGGCCTAGTTAATGACAATTATAGCAGTATACTTAAAAAGTGAATACTAACAAAATGAAAGAAGAAAGTGCGGGCAGAACGCTAAAGATAAATCACGAGAAAATAATCGGAAAGTAGGCCATCCTCAAAAAGGATATAGCGATAGTCTAAGTAAAGAGAGAAAGGTGTATGAGGAAAAATTTAACAATCTGTAAAATAAAAAAAGAAAGAATAACACTAAAACTGCATCTGTAAATATATATAAACAGAAAATTAATTTACAGTGGTTACAAAGAGAACACATTTATAATTTTTATTTAGCTTTATAGTAATATGCAAAGCTTAAAAAAAGTAATAAAAATTATTTACCGGTCATAATTTAGCCATAAAAATTTAAGTATAATAAATAAAAAAATGTAAATAGTACTTACATACCCAAACTTGTTATCTTCCAAAAATTACATAAAATAATACTGTCAAGCAAAAGAAGCTGTAGTATCTTTTTAATACAACAGCTTCTCACGTCCCATACGGAAAACTACGCATTTCATTTGCACACAAAAGTTATCAATGTGTGCTTAAACCTTTATTTCAATATTTATTTTATATTATGATTTGAAGTCCATATTCTTAATATAGTGTTAAGGAACTTTATGTTCGTTATTTAAATTAATTTAAGAATAATTAAGTAGATGAACTAGTTTCTTGTTTACTTTTTCCAATGTTTAATTAATTTTTTATAAAAAACTGTTGTTTTTGACCAAATATTGATAAATGTTGATATATTTTGTAAATTTGAGTTTATAGACCGAGAGTTGGCGAAAAATTAATAATATTTTATATGGGCATATGCAATTAAAGATAAATAAACTGCCTACAGTTTTCAAATCTACTAGCTAGACTACAAATAAATAAAGACAAACTTACACAGCACTGTAGGAGACAATAATACTCTAACGGTGAATTGTCAACAGCTTAAAGAACCAGCTGCTACCTGGCAAGCAAGATGGACTGTACGGGAGGCACAGACAAAAATGACAAGAAAAATGGATTTGGCAAATAAAATATTGAAATGCCTAAACAAAATATGGAAGTCTAAATCAATAACCATTAGCACAGACCTTAAAATATTTCGTTCAAATGTAAAACCTCCGTATGGTGCAGAAATTTACAAGTTCGACAACATACTTGTAACAAAAGTACAGAAAATGTTTATTAAATGTATGAAAATTATATGCAACATTTTTTGTTTGAATTTTTACAGTTTCGCGCTTAAAAAAGTTTGAAAAAGAACATATTGTGACCAGGTTTAAATTTTAAAATGTCAAGGAAGACGAGGGTGGGGAGACCGTTTTACAAATGGTGGAGAAGTACACAAAGATAATTAAATAGAGAAAACAAAACACGTAGAGAGAGGAATATAGCAGCAAAGGACCGAAAAATATGGAAGCACTCAGATGAGAAATTAGACGACCTTCAATAGAGACATAACTGACATATGCTTCACGGGTGAAGCAGACAGGAGCCATGACATGTACCCTTAGTAACAGTTAAACAATTATCAGAGAGCAAGTTTAATGTTGTTACCTTCTAGCAGTAGAGGGGGTAGAAATTTTTTTTAACACAAGAATCTAGAATATATTACACAAAAGTCGCCTGGTTTTAGCTATGATGAAAAACAGAGTTTGTACTACAAATCATGGTAGGCGAGCAGAGTTCTTAAACAAGTGTGATGAGAAGCTTTATACTAAAGGAGTACCAAACCAAGGCACTCATTTAGTATAGGACTAGGCACCCAACCTTTTCATTCAGTATATATGCGAAAATATATACTGAATTAATATTCGATAATGTGAATTAGGGGTCCGTCGTTTTCTCTTCGTTTTTTATTCGTTCATTTTATTTTTCGAGGCTATTTTGTCATTTATGCATGTGTTTTCATTGCTTTGTGACAATTAATCACGGAAGTGATAAACAATTGCATGGATGGATTTTTGCAAAGACTTTTGCATGGAAGTGGTAACTCTTTTTTTTAATACTCTTTGGTTTGATATATATGGCTTTTTTAAATGTAGTATTTTGTTTTTTAACTAAAACTATAATTACATTTAAAATATATTCAGACTGAATACTATTCATTTTAAAATATTCATAATATTTTTCATCGTAATCAATTAATTATTCTTTGTATAAAATCCAGTATTTACCTTCCTTTTTCCTTTCTCTTAGCATTGGATGTACTTCAAACCCTCTTTTTACTACAGTTTTTCTTTCTTCAATCTTAAGTAGAAAAGCAATTGCACATAATTTTTGTCGCGAAAAGCGAGATCATATCTTCACCGAAACAAACTGACACGTTCTGTGTATGAATATGTGAACAAGCAGTCCAGTCCGATTGCTGGACTGGAAACGCTACGTGCGGGAAACTATACGTGCATGATAATATTCCGCGACCTTTAATCTTAAAAGCACACATATCTATTTGTTACATGCTCCACCCACGATATTTTTAGAATATGTCTACAGAGCCATAAGACAAAATCTTTGATCACTTTCTCTTCTTCCGTCATTGTTTTCTCTATTCGGCATGGAACGACATCAATCTCCTTGATCATTGTTCCGAGATACCTATATATCTTTACAGTTTCAAGACGTCAATTGCTCATATATATCTTTCCAGTTTGATTTTAGTTTTTGAAGATTATCATTTATTTTGTCTCATGAGTTTTCAACGACAGTCTGTATTTTTTATACGATTTTTTTTTTGAAACTGTTTGACAAAAGTTATTGTTTTGTCTGCCTATCCTGTGTTGGTTATTTAGAGTATATATTTTATTAACAATATAAAACACTGCTGATAATGAAAAGATTCTTGATTTAAATTTTTTATTCAAGAATTTGGGTCAAGTTCATTAAAAGTATTAAAAGTGTTGATCAAGTATGTTGACAGAACATGATATACAAATCACAATCTAATTATTATTCAAACACCCAAAATTTCGTTAATATTTGTATTTTTCGTTAGAAACTAGCAACCTTACAAAAATAAATGGTTTTTAAAAACAAAGGATTTTGTTATTAAAAAAATAAGTTTTAAATCTTGTGTGATGTAAACACGCATTTGTTGTGCATGAAAGTGGGAATATTGAATGTTTTACTTGAAGTAACATTAAGCTTTATAAACAAAAGAGTTAGAAATGGAAATGCGACTAGATTATGGTGTAAATCTGACTAGCCTTCCCGTAATGCTCACTAAGACACTAAGAACTGTTAAACCATCCTAACTAAATCTCCCAGTGAACCATTTTAATACATCAAAAAACAATGGCCCTTATCAGAACCATTTGACAATCCGAACAACAATTAGAATATGAAAAATATATGTTTTAAGAAGCATTAGCCGGAACAAGTGCAAAGAAACAAACTCCTTGCAAAGAACACAATTGATGTTTGTACAGTTTAAAAAACACATATTGCCCACAACCTCCACTGAGTCATGGATAAATTCCTGAATATAAACTGATATTGCTTAATACAGTATTGGTACCTATTGCAGATCAAACACTAAACCTATCAGTACAATAAACTCTTACTCGACACAAGAAATTTGAATAGTTAAATGTAACAGTAGACAAAATACCTATTATCAATATATATTAAACCATTTCTGAACGGCTACCAGATATGCTCTCTTTCATTTTCTTACTCGACAATATACACCGTTTATTGACGTTTCGTCACGTAGTGAGTTTTTGCTCACTTTCCAGTCTTCAAAATGGCAAATACCAACAATCCCAATATCGCATTTGTATCTTTCAACTAAGCTAGATTTACAAATGCCACAAGAGAAGTTCTTGAACACTATCGTAAGCTCCACCAATAAGTAAACTAGAACTATGGGTATAATTATATTCATTATTAACTGGAAATCATTACAAAGGTTGAAAGCTATAAAATATTTGCAGTGCTTGTGATTCCATCTGTACAAAAAAGGTTGTACATAAGTGGAATTATTAATATAATTTCAATGTATGAGGACTGTATCAAATAAATTAAGATAGGTAGGAAAGGGTTATACAGATAATAGCCAATTTCAGCGCAGCTGCCGCTTCTGTTAAGGTTGCAGTGATACTAACACTATTCCCGGAAGCCAAAAGCTTAAGGCAGTCGAAATAGCCATCTTAGGTGCGTATGGCAAAATTCCGGAAGCAAGACTACAGGTTCGCTTCCTAAAGAGTACATATAGACCGGGTTTCCTGTGCGGTGGCTAAAGGAGGTGATTTTAACTCTGAGGCCTTGGGAGAGTGCATCTCTCAGGGCTCTGGAGGGGGAGGACATACCCAAGCCGCACTCGTGCACTGTTTAGAACTCCAGAAATTAAAAATGCAAGAACTCCAGAAATTAAAAATGTCACCCTTTTTCGGAGTAGGACGGTTAACGTTCCGACCCAAAGAAGGGAAGACAAAAAACACGGAATGAAAAGCCAGTAGCAGCTCGTTCCAGTGAAACAGGAGAAACTTTCCTACATATGGAGGTTTAGGAAGAGGAACTACCTGACGGGATACATTTCCCGGTAAGTCTATCTAAGGATATGATAGTTTTCTAGGCAGGAAATAACTGCAATCCATCGTAGGAAGAAGTAAAAAGGCAGGAAAGAACGTTCTGTTCTGTTGCCATCTTCACAGATAGTCAGGCACTGCTTAAGGCACTCAATTCTGTAGAGGTCAATTCTAAGCTAGTATGGGATTGCCTGTGTGCTCTAAATACACTAGGAGACCGTAGCAAGGTTACGGTAACCTGGATATCTGGGCACGAGGGTCATAAGGGCAATAAAAAGCAGATGAAATGGCCAAACAAGGCTCACCAATGTCATTCATTGAACCGGAACCCTTCTGCGGCATTGCAAAGTGAGCAACAAGAACGGCTACAAGGAAGTGGGAGCTCACAAATCTCTGGAATGGTGGAGGAATTCGCCAGGACAAAGACAGACGAAACAGTTCATTACAGTAGATTTGCCAAAATTTACGGCAGACCTATTAAGCAAAGACAGGAAAACAGTCAAAGCCATAGTAGGTCTTCTAACAGGGCACTGTTACGCTCAATAGGCACTTGCAGCTGATGGGATTAGCAGATGATTACCTGTGCAGATTCTATCACCTCGAAGAAGAAACAGCAGAGCACATTTTATGTTAGTGTGACATTCTGCCAAATGTGCGGTTCTTTGCATTAGGAGAAGAAAATTCACCGGCAAAGAGCTACATAGAAGGTACCTATACTGTACCTCTACAGACTAGAGAATGTTATCTAGGACTAGAGGACTACAATAGATCTGAAAAGGTCGTAGTGAAATATGCCAAAAGGCCAAAAAGGCCTCTCTTAATCTAATCTAAAAACCCTCTTAAAAAAAGTTATGGGCCATAAAAAAATTTGCATATCTTCCTGTTTTTTTTTTAAGTTTTAGAAGGTAACACTTCGATAAGAAATTTAATTTTAAACAATTTTTCTGTAGATACATAA